TATTCTACTGAGCCATCTCCTTGGCCCCTTGCAGGCTGTTGAGTTTAACATTTGTTTGCCATGAAACATGGTGGTATGGGACCAGGGGGGTGGCTCAGTAGAGTAAGCGCTAGCTTGGCAAGCGCAAGGGCCTGAATTCAAATCCCTGATTCCGCCAAAAAACAAACAAACAAACAACCAAAAACACAAAAAACATGGTGGCACCAAAAAGATTGTACATTCAGTAGTTTCCCGCAATTTAGCTAGTATGTGAGACAAATTCCTAGGAGCCTCTGGATCATAAGACAAGTCCGTTTTTAAATCATGCGACCTTTCTTCAAATTATCCTCTGAAAAGATTGTACAAGTTTATACTTCCTAGGGAAGAAGCATGCAACTTAAACAGAGTAGGAAAGAGGAAACGTGTCCCTTTCCTGCTACTCTAGCTCCCAGAGGCAGTGACTGTCACAGTTCCCAAGTGCATCTGTCTAGCCTTCAGATTTTGTAAACCAGTGTGTGTTACAATCTTATACCTGTGGTAGGCACTGTTCTGTCAGTCTCTTGTAGTTGACGGTGTATGGTGTACCTGTCCCTTTCAGGGTGTATGGAGCAGCAGTGCAGTGTGCTCTCTGCACTGGGGAACTGTGGGAGGTTGGGGTGAGGGCTGCTGCCCCTTCCTGTGAGACTGCTGTGTGGGCCAGGGGTTACCTCAGCAGCTGTGGGTGTGTGTTCTGCTACAGTTGGGTCTGGAAGTGGAGGTGTTCTTGTAGCCAGGCACTGTGTGTGTGTGTGTGTGTGTGTGTGTGTGTGTTTGTATTTAGGGCAGGGTGTACAGGGTCTCACTACATAGATCGGACTCGTAGTGATCTGCCTGTGTTCAGCCTCCCAATCGCTGGGATTACAGGTGGGCACCACCATGCCCAGTCTCAATAGCCATCTAAGCGCCCCAGGGGTGGGGTTGTAACTGTAGGCCTGGGGATCGAGCTCCTGGCCCCTGTATCTGCCTAGAGCAGGTGCTTTAGTCCACCGAGCTATTTGTCTGGCCCTCAAACACTGTGTATTAACACAATAGTACTTGTGTATTTGGGCCCACTCAGTGCTGTGGGGTGTGAGCCACCGCCTGGCAGACAGCTGGGAGCCGGACCTGCTGTGCACCAGGCCTGTGAAAGCGCAGGACCAGGACAGGGCTGGACGCTTTTACTGCTTTTACTGAGCAAGGAGTATGGAACCATTGAGTC